GATTGGACATTAAGGGAGGCGCCATTGGACTTGGCGAAAGAGTACAAAAATGAAAGGTGTCGCCATCCCAATTGGCGAATAAGAGGTGTCATTGGTTGCAGACTAGGCTCAGGCTACGTGACAGCCTTTGGGATGCCATTCCTGAATGCATGTAACATTATTGGAGGTGATGGGAGGAGACTTACAAGATACAGTGTAGGTGTAGAGTAGGCGCAGGCTAGGTGGCAGCCTAGGGGGTTACATATCTGCATGCATGTAACACGATTGGACATTAAGGGAGGTGCCATTGGACTTGGCGAAAGAGTACAAAAATGAAAGGTGTCGCCATCCCAATTGGCGAATAAGAGGTGTCATTGGTTGCAGCCTAGGCTCAGGCTACGTGACAGCCTTTGGGATGCCATACCTGAATGCATGTAACATTATTGGAGGTGATGGGAGGAGACTTACAAGATACAGTGTAGGTGCAGAGTAGGCGCGGGCTAGGTGGCAGCCTAGGGGGTTACATATTTGCATGCATGTAACACGATTGGACATTAAGGGAGGCGCCATTTGACTTGGCGAAAGAGTACAAAAATGAAAGGTGTCGCCATCCCAATTGGCAAATAAGAGGTGTCATTGGTTGCAGACTAGGCTCAGGCTACGTGACAGCCTTTGGGATGCCATGCATGTAACACTATTGGCAGCCTTGGGGGTTACATCCTTACTTAATTGAAATTCAGTATGAGATTTTTAGTCTTACGTTTATCATAACATTGATTCACTTAATCTGTCAAACCTTCCAACCTTCAAACGTTCATACAATCAAACCTTCAAACCTTCAAACAATCAAACATACAAACCTTCGAATAACTCATAAACTTCAAACATTCCAACCTTCAAACCTTACAACTTTCAAACCTTCATACAATCAATAAACTTCAAACATTCCAACCTTCGAATAACTCATAAACTTCAAACATTCCAACCTTCAAACCTTCAAACAACCCTACGCAATAGCCTCTGCACCACAATATGTCGTCAAAGCATATTTCAATGGTGAGACATACATTTGTCCCACCGTTGGGTTTTTGTTTAGAGACACAGACAACATCCGATTTCTCTTAAACGGGAAAGCCAATTTCTCGTAATTCAAAAAACGATTGGAGGCCAAACTTGGACGAGGCCCGGTGACACAAATATTTTATCAGAATCTAGTTTTTTTTGGAACCAACCAAATAATTTTTTATGAGGTTGAAGTTCAAGATGAAGAGGATCTCCAGAATATGTTTTCCAGCCATGTGTATTTTGGGTACGACTCTATTGAGTTGTACATTATGCTGCGAGAGCCTCAGGTGACACAAGTGGTTGATCCTTTGGAGAATGAACAAGCTGAGGTAGATGCAGTTGATGAAGAAGAAGAAGATGACGGGTTAGAGTTTGAAGAAATGGTGAATGATGATTCCGAAAATGATGGCATACCTAGTATTCCTGCAAACGAGATCTACACACCACATCCGCACATGACAAACTTCAACATGGGCGGAGATGAATCGTCTACTGACTTATTTTTCAATCTGTATATGCAGTCGGATGAAAATTTAAAAGAGAAGGACAAGTTTCGTAACAGAGAGGAATGCATCAGATCCATAAAAAATCCACATGCTCAACTCGGTTGATTTTAAGGTGGACCGTGTCAACCCAGAAAGGTACAAGATCAAGTGTGTCCACCCTGAATGTATGTTCAAGCTGACTGCATCATACAAATTAAGAGGTGACTGCTGAGTCATAGGTTCCATGACTACCCACACTTGTGTAAGTTCTACCCAATCACAGGACCACCGAAAACTTAATTACGATCTCATCTGTCAAGAAATCCTACCACTGGTCAGCAACGACCCATCTTTGAAGGTGAAAACAATCATCTCCCACATCACCATGGTTTTTAACTATACTTCATCTTACCGTAAGGCGTGGTTAGCAAAGACTAAGGCGATTGAAAAGGTGTACGGAAACTGGGAGGAGTCATACCAAGAACTTCCTCACTATCTAAATGCACTCAAGACGTATTCTCCGGGTACTGTTTACGTTCTGGAAACAGTGCCAGCATACACCCAAGATGGTAGTCTACTAAACGGTAACAGAATATTCAGTCGAGTGTTTTGGGCATTTCAACCTTGCATCACAGGGTTTGCATCATGCAAACCAATTATACAAATTGATGGGACTTGGTTGTATGGGAAGTACAAAGGCACGCTACTGATGGCAGTTGCACAAGATGGCAACAACAACATTTTCCCCATTGCCTTTGCCCTTGTAGAGGGGGAGACCGGTGGTGCTTGGAGCTTTTTTCTGAAAAATCTGCGGACACACGTGGCTCCTCAACCAGATCTCTGTTTGATCTCAGACAGACATGCCTCCATTGAAAGTGCCTACAATAATCCTGCAAACGGTTGGCATGACCCTCCTTCTACGCATGTCTATTGCGTTAGGCATATCTTCCAGAATTTCACAAGGGAGATCAAGGACAAAACACTAAGGAAAGCGGTTATGAATGCGGGATATGCATTGACACAACCCACATTCAAATATTACCGTAACGAGATCCGTTTGTCAAATCCAGAAGCCGGTAGGTGGATCGACAATATTCCGGTGGAAAAATGGACTAGGTCATACGACAATGGCCAAAGATGGGGGCACATGACAAATAATCTTATTGAATCGATGAATGGGGTATTCAAAGGCATACAAAACCTCCTGATCACTGCTTTGGTAAAATCTACGTATTTTAGGATGGCTGCGTTATTTGCCAAAAGAGGTGAAATGTGGAATCAGTGTTGCAATCTGGACAACTATGGAGTGAAAGCTGCATGAAATACATTAAGGCAGAAAGTGCCAAAGCCAACACTCATATGGTTATACGGTTTGACCGACACAACCACAACTTCATTGTGAAAGAGACAATCGACCACAACGAAGGTCTTCCAAGACCAGAATATAGGGTCATGCTACCTTCTCGTTGGTGCGGTTGTGGCAGGTTTCAAGCATTTCGTATGCCTTGCTCTCATGTCATTGTCGCTTGTGCTCATACCCATTAAGACGCACTGCAACTTCTGTCACACATTTACAAATCTGAAATGTTGCTCAACGTTTACAACAACAACTTTCCTTTGGTAGCAAAACCAGATTATTGGCCTGCGTACGATGGCGAAATAGTGTGGCACAATGACCAAATGCGAAGGAACAAGAAGGGACGTCCCAAAAGTAAGCGCATCACAACAGAAATGGACGATCTTGAAAAGCTGGAAAGAAAGTGTGGTTTATGCCGCCAGGTCGGACACAATCGCAAAAAATTGTCCAAATTGGGCGTCTGCCTCGACCACATAAAAATTGTAATACATAAAATATTTCCTTAATTATGTTGTAAACATTAGGGTTTTCCGTTAACAGATTTTTCTAAAATAAATATTGCGCGTACAAGAAAAATTAACGACATTCCGTCTACGAAATTACAACTGTTAACACAATTTCATCTGACCCATGCATCATCAACATTACATCGTTGTCTGTTTTGACTTCCTCCAACCATACATTAGATCTTCCTGTCGCATGTGAGGTTGTTGTTCGTTTTCGCTGGATCCTTCGAATTTTTCCCCCTCCGCAATGTCTCCATCTAGCCATCGCATCAACTCCCGCTTCAGACGCTCCATGGAGTGAATGTGCCAGAATTTCATTTTCATCGCAGGTTTTGTGGCGGAGAAGATAACGTAACCATCTCTGCTAAAAATCATGGGCGACGTCATGACGCAAATAACATAGTAAAAAATAAAAAAAGTGTGAGAAAATGAGAAATTTCGAAGAAACGGACGAATTATTTATAAAACAGCATTTTGCCCTAGGAGCTAAGTGAGATGGCGCCTCCTCTCACTTTTAAAGTGCATGCGCCATCTCACTTGGCTAAAAGTGAGAGGAGGCGCCAAGTGAGATGGCGCCTAGGGCAAAACTAGGGGTGGAGGCGCCAAGTGAGATGGCTCCTCCTTTGGGGAGTCATCTGAAACATGGTTATTTGCGTAATTTTTTCCGAAACGCGGTCATTTGTGAAATATTATTTTAATACTTGATTATTGTAAAAAAAAAATTGATTCTATTTAGCATGATTGTATGAATTTGTTGCTGCTAGTTATTGTTTCATGTAATTTGTCATAGAGTCATTGGATAGCCTACTTCTCCAAAATCATGTTGAACTCGCCTCAGACTCGCAAGTCTATCACCTAAGCTATTGACATTTTTACATAAACACGGACTTCTATTCTATTACAAACAGATTCATCATTATGCATGCACATAAGTTACATTCAAGACCTTTCATACTTAAAATGTCTATGGTTTTTATTTTTCGAAACCAAATAATTTCAAAATCATCACTAAGAAATATGTACTAGTTAAACATATTATCTATTATACGTTGGAACATACACATAAAATAAAGTTGATAAATTAATGGTAAAAATGATTAGTCAGAGAAGATGAAGCTGAGAGAGAAAGATAGAAATTATGAGTGAGAGAGTAATTGAGGAGGAACTCATAAATTGATATTAACACATTCTAATATTACAAGAGGGTATTTATATGAGTGCTAAAATATAACAAACAAAACAAACTCAGAAAACTGTTACAAACAACAAGTTGGAAAAGCTAAAATTTGCGGCGAAACCGATTTTCATAAATGAGGAAATCGGTTTCCTCTTCGAAAACTTCAATTCTAACAAATACACAGAACACCTTTTTTAGATAAGCTGTTTTCCAAAACAACTTCAAGAGACTTTCAAACGACATTCGACTTAAACATAACGTCCAATATTATATATTTCATCACAAGCCACAATGGAAGGCTAGTACAAATACAATGTCTTTATTTGTAGTAATCCACTTTCACAATAGCTATATCTTGCTAATAATACCATAACCATGTTGATCAATATATTTTTATATACTCATTTAATATATGCTTAATAATTTATAATTCAAGCAAGAGGATTATTAATCTTCAATGGCCTAAATCCATGCTGAAGACTTGCTTGCCACACTTTCTCAATACTAAACATCACTTCTCCACATTCATGAACATCCCAACCTTCTAAAGCATGCAATATTCCCGCAATACGCCACGCACTCATCACTCTTCTTGGAAGCCAATTCTGTTGCATATTCAAAATATCGAAATTCTTAGATAAATGATCATCAAAACCTCGATTCAAAACATCGCAATATATACACTAACCTCGCAGGAGTGGACATTGGCTAAAGAAGGAGGAGTTATCATGGCTGGTGTGCTAAGATAGAAGCAATCTTTTCGGAGTTTCTTTGGAGGGAATTGAGAAATTGGTATGAACAATGCTCCTTTTGGTGCCTTTTTTTGTTCTACCTCATCACATTGGTCTCCAACTAGCCATATCTAAAAATTCAAAATGAACCCTTCAATTTTGATAATATCTTTTCATAAACTAAAATCATCTATCTATTTTATTTTTGGTAATTGAAACTTTCAATAAAAATAAAGATAAGATTATGAAATGGTTTGGACTTGAATTTTTTTTACCTTTGCAGAATTTGATCCTGGAAAAACCAAATTTTTTTTGGACTCTAGGGAAAGTCTTAAGAGAAGATTCTCATAATCATCTCTATACATTGTTGTAACCTGGAAAAAATAAACACAAAAGCGAGAAATCAAATATCTTAAATATTACGCCACCTTATTTCAAAACAATTTGAATTCAGATAGCATGCATTTATTAAATCCATCGCACTGGTGACCGATATATCGAGATTAGATGAGGCATATTTCAAACTCAATCTTTTATATTTGATATCTACACTGTCTGATTTCGATTCAACGATCATAAGTGTGGCGTACATGAATGCAACAACTTGCGATTGCATATAATTCGAATTCAATCCTTGAAAATGGACAAAATGAAACATACCTTAGTGCCCCTTTCACATAAAGCATTGGCAATGACATATGAAACCTTGTCAAGTCTACCACAAAGAAAAACTTGATTTGTTTCTTTTGGAATGCTATTAAGAACAATAGCCACACCCAAGCTACTTCCATCAACAATCTTTAACTTAAGTTGAGGATACCTTTTGATGTATAGTTCACCATATCTATTCAACAAGTCTCCCTACACCCATTGAAAATATAAATTTATATACACGGACAGTGTAAAATAGTTTTATAAAAAAATTTAATCGAGTATCACCTGATTTGAAAGACCTAAACTTAGAACCTTAACTTTGCTGAGTTCTGCTTGAAGTATTGCTTCTTCTATAAGTTTATTCAAAGTTTCTCTTTGCCATTTGAAAAGATACTACATAAAATTATTGATAGTCATTAATTTAATTCTTTGAAAAATGAAAATTAAAAAATGATACTATAAATAATCTTACTTGTACATGAAATCTTGGAATAACCCATGATTGCAAATTGAGCATTTCGAAAGAGTTTCTCTCAAGAACAAAAGTTTGACCATAAAACCAAGTGACAAGAACAGACCAAAAAGTGAATGGCCACATGAAATAGAGGTACCATGCAGAAGATTGAGGTGAAGATGCTAAGGAAGAGAATCCCAATCTTAGATGATAGATTGATTCAGGTGTTGTAAGATGCGTTAAATGTACAACATCTGGTGTACCTTCTTCTTTGTTCAATGATTTTTCATATAACGTTTCTGAAGCTTTATCAACAGTTCCATAAATGTAATCATAAATTGGCATGAAGAGGGAATAGTTTGTTCTAAATTGTGTATGATGCAGTGAGTGAAACCTGTCACATATAGTAGCAATCATAAATTATTCAAGTTTACGAATTTAATTTAAGCTAAATTATTTTTATCCAATAACTTTATTTTAATTTATTTTTTTTAAATTTAACATAAAATTAAATATTATTTTTTTCAATATTATGTTTTCCTCACCTAGATTTTCACCTTCATTTATAATCTGTCTATCTTTTAATAGCAAAATGTGTACAGCAACATTATTATAAAGGGACCATTACCAAAGTATGGAAACTAGGCAGAACTTGCTGCCTAACCTATCTAATCAATGTATACATATGCATGCAATAAGTATAAAATATTAATTAAAAATAATTTAATGATAAAGTAAAAAAATTATATAAATAAAAATTTGATTAAATGATGAGTTAAGAGTTAGATATACTTACGATGGTGTATACATGGTATACTTGAGAATGGGAAAGATGGTGAAAATGGTCTTTGGAATGAACTCAAAATTACAGTGACCCAAATTATTCATGAAATCAATGTAAGCAAGATAACCAGCAAAGGATGCTATAGATGCTGTTTTTGTAATTGCTGTTGTGTATAATGGAATTGCAAATAGCACAAAGTATGCTATGTGCTCTGCAAATGGATGTATCACAGCTGCAGAAATTAAATTATGAAATAAGTAAAGAATTAATATGATTGTAATATAACATGTAATTAATTAATTAATTTTTTGAGGTTTGGATATTTTGCTTTGGATTTCACTTTCTGAAAGTAAATTAGTCACATGATGTATGTGTATATGATATTATCAATTGATAGTGGTTTCTTGTAACTATCAACTTAACCAACAAGAAATTGACTTTTTTAGTTTTTTTAAAGCGAAAAGGTTAAAAATTTGAACAAAATTATAATAAATATGATAGTTTGAAGAATTGAAAAGTTTGATTTTAAAAAGCATGAATTAAAAGTACAATTCTTTTACTAAACAGTAGAATGATTCATATATATTTTTAAAAATCATATAAGATTAAAATACTTAATCTTTTTTATATGACAAAAAAATTATATAAATACTTTTTGTTGTTGAAGAGATAAAAAATTCATTTTTAATTTTTGTAAGACTATTTAATTAAAAAATAAAATATTTTTGAGACTAATTAATTAACCAAACAAAGGGTATTTTAAATTTTTTTCTCTCTAATTTTTACATCTCATAAATACCACTGCCAGATTTTATTCCAACTTTAATTCTTTCCTCTTTTAGCCAAGCCATGACCATATTTTCTCCATCATTCATTAATTTCTCAGCTACTCATCTTTATTTCCATATTAATTAGGAGGCAATAAACAGTTAAAAGATGAAAAAAAACTCACAAGTTATTGGTTCTGTAACAATGGAAGAATGATGATGAGAATGGTATCTAGAGTAAAGATAATGATGATGAAGTGCTCTATGTAACCAATAATATAGAAACTCCACTGGTCCAGTATGTAGAAGAATTGTCATAACCACACCATTAGTTCTCCATATAGGCAAATTATGTGATTCAGGTACCAACATTTGACCAATATAAAATATCAATGCATTGAATAATATTTGATCATCCCTGCAAAAATATCATATATTCATTATTTTCATAAACCAGAATCGGAGTTGATCTTTTATAGAGAATGCAATAAATATTATATTTTTTAAGACAATAATATAATTTTTAAGATTATTGATTTTGCCACTCAAAAAGAAATAGTAGCGCAAATTGTTGTCTGTTTACATGTTGTTTGTTTCTGTAATATTTTTCATTCACATTAGTATATCTATATATTAGGTCTTTTAACTAATAATATCAGTATTAAGTGATTGATTTGTACCAATTGCTTTCTCGATCGACTTGTTCGAACTCAATCCCCTTATCGACGATTCTGCTTTTGCCTTTGGCGGTTCGATGACGGGAAAGAGTGATCCAAATTTGGTCATGAAGCATTCTGACCATCATATATGGGAAGATGAGGAAGTTACTTAGGTCTTTTTCTTCTGGACTGTTGATCAAGAAATTGTATGTGCTGTTTGCTACAAATGGTGTTACAATCACCCACTGCATCCATTCAACAATTATACAAAATCATATACTATTTTAATTTCTATACTAAATCATATGAAGGAATGTCAATATTGTAATATATATGATGAAAATAAAAAGTATGAAAAACCTTGAATCTGCCAAGAGGTGTCCATGGCCAATCAGTAAGTATGCCTGGTCTGGAAGCCATTTTTATGCCAACTAAAGGTATAGAAGAAGAGGCAAAGGTATTTGTGCATAATAGTTGTACCAAGTCCATATATTTATAAGCTTGTTTGATGCTTCCCGTGCCTTTTTTTCTTTTCTTTTCTTTTTAGCTAATATTTTTTTATGATAAATTATTGCTGAATATTAACTATATATCTCTTATTCAATGATATGATATCTATTTAATGTTTTTCATAAAGCTAAAAAAAATAACACATGAAGGTTGAAGGTTAGTGATGTGTCATCACTAAAAGGTGTGAATAAAGAGGTCCCAATTAAAAGAGGCGGTATAAATGTAAGTGGATAAAAGAGTATCTATTAAAGGAGGCATTTTGAATAGACTCATATTTGAGGGAGAGTGTTGAAAAAGAATTACAAGTGTGAGTATTATGGGAAAGTCTCACATTGGTTAAAAATGTGAAGACTTGAGCATTTATAAGTCAGAGAATCTACACACCAATCACCTTAAGACTTTGGATGAGTATGTGATGTGTCTCTCACAAATATGTGTTTCGAGTGAAGGAACCGACTTACTTGTATTGAAAGTACTTCACACATGGTGGTGGATAAGAGTATCTCATTGAAAATTTTCAACGGAGGAACAAATGTATGTGAATATTGAGCATTTATAAGTGAGAGAACTCACACACCTATCACCTTAAGATTTTGGGTGAATATGTGGCGTGTCTCACAAAGATGTGTTACTCAAAAGAACAGTCCCCAAGTGTTAAAATGCTCTCTCATGTTTACTCCACTGAATTTCCTCAATAAATTACTCTCATGTAAGTTGTCCTTAGGCCTTTAACCAAGAAAACATATTTGTGGTATTTGTTGGCGAAAGGGAATTACGAGCAAAACACAGTGGATAAACAAAAAAATATTTTGATTGTATGATCATCATTCTATTCACATAGTAATCTATATGCTTTAATTTTATTTCAATTCACAATAAAATATGACTACAAATACTTTAAGAATAATATTCTTATGTTGAATAGGGTTTCACGACTAATTCATACTTAATATTTCATCAAACAGACTATCTATTCTAGAGAATTTGTTACTATGGAAAAACAAACATAATAATAAAAAAATTATATTATTATTATTAGATAATTCGATACAAGTACCAAATTCTAATACAATTATTGACCTCTAAAACTTACACCAACATATGGTAGGATTCCGATGAGATTGATAGAGAGAAATAAACTTGGGTAGCAAACTAAGTCGATGATTGCTGGTGCGGTAAAGCAGAAAGAAAAAAGTAAAGTATTATTTTACTAGGTGATATTTAGGTTATACCATATCGTGTCCACAGAGATTGGTGAGAGGGAAAAATTACTGTTCAACAGTTTCAATCCTTCTAACTTTGGAAAAAGGGCTTACGGAAAAAGTGCAGGAAAAACAAATAAAGCAATAAAGAAAGCGATAAACAATCATCTGCAGCCTAAGAGAATTCATTCTGGAATCACATTTCACTCTAACCGTCAAATACTTAAACTTGGGGATCAATTGCACACGACTTAAATCACTTATCAATACCATCACATATCGCTCACATTAAGGCTATCTCTAACGCAAAGTGACATATCACCCGAATTGCTCTCGTCGATGATCTCTCAACCGACTCAAATAACCCGGATGAATTTCATAACTGATAGTCACATGAATATTAAGCCTAAATCTAAGTCTATAGTCTAGTACCTAATAGATATTTATTCAAGAAAGAGATTCGGAAAGCATATGTCTACGACAAACCAAAACTCTGCGATTAAGCAAAAATCAAGAATAAACACTGGTATTAATTTGTAAAAGAGATTTCATACAATCCCATGATCAACAAATGTACATACAATAAGAGTAAAGATATACATACAACACCCACCATAAGAATGATACATAGGGAAGAAGGAGATGAATAGGCAACTTCTCGCGGTGTCAACATGATCTGAGACCACCCATAGCCAATCGACATGATGAACCACCCAATGATGTTGCTTGAACCTCTAAGCTACAAAGAATTGGATCAGAGCTCCTCCAAGAGGGAAATAGATGATAAAAACCTAGAAAATCTATTTCTAAACTATTTATACAAAACTGGTCTTAGCAGACTGCGCTTAGCGGGCTCACCGCGCTGAGCGTACTTCCTGATATATACACTCTAAACCGCCTAAAACCATTCTAAGCGGGACTTGCGCGCTAAGCATGCTCAAAAAATCACTTTTGCCAAATCTGTCAAAATTGTGCGTAGCGCGCTAGAGAATGCGCTTAGCACGGTCCCTTGAGCAGAACTTCTCAAAACTGAGTCTTTTATTTCGAAAACACGCACCTGGAGTTGTACCTTCGACACTTTATTTCTCAATGCTCCAAAATGTAACGAATACCTACAAAAGAAGTAAAATCTATCAAACGTTACCCAAATAAATAAAAAATACAAATATATACAAACCAAATGTATTTACACAAAAGTCGGGTTTATTCAATGATTATTAACAACAAAGAGTCGATAAGTGCAACAAAAAGTATATATAAAAATAGCTATAATTTGCACTTATCAAACTCTCCCTAACTTGAACTTGTTTGTCCTCAAACAAGGCCAAACAACTCAAAGACCAAAAGTAATCAACCAAAGAATCATGAATCAATAAGTTTTGAAAACGAAAACAAATATATGGTTCAAACAAAAGTGCACACACAAATTAAATACTTACCACAATCCTACAACAATAACATGTAAACGAAACGAATCCTAAGTACAAAAATCATACTAAATATTTTAAAACAAAACAAGCTCAATCATGAATCGCACCTAGTAAAAATCCATCGATAGATGAAGAATACACAAAAGTGAGGGGCAAAAAACACCCATCCACAATCTTGCAAACAATAGACTAAATTATGCATTCATCCAAAAATCATATTGAAAATAGAAAGGCAAGAATCACAAGGAATTTTCAAGATTGTAATGTGGCTTGATTAACAAACAAGGGATAAGTCCTAAAGCTAATCGAAACAAAAACTTGCTTAAACCTAAGGAAGTGATCAGCTCACAAAGACTCAAACAATAAAATCTCAATTAAACTTATGCTTCATCCCCAAAATTTCACATCAATCACGATACTTGTTAATACAACATTATTCCATACTATTTTTGTTTTTCTATTTCAAAACTTTTTTAATTTTCTTTCTTTTTCCTTTTATTTCTTTCACTTTTTTCTTTCTTTTTCACTTTTTTCTTTATTTTTATTTTCTTTTTCTCTTTCACAACCTCATAGAAATCAACAACATAAGTGAGCAAACAAATCTCTCTCCAACTTGAATTTAACCAACATTAAAGAGAATTCTCCCTACTTTCTAATTCAAGGTAAAAATTCAACTAAAAATCATAGTTGAGGGTTCAAGAAAATTAAGAATCAACATCCATTCAAAAAGAAAAATCAAACACTCATAGACAAGCATTAGGTTCAAAAACAACATGGACATAGACAAAAAAACTTAAAGGGGTTACAAATGATCACACACTCACAAGGTGAATTGACTATTTGGTTAGGTAGTTGTGCTCAAAATGAAACAAAAATTCCTTGATCATATTCATGCTTTCATACAATCAACACAAACAAAAGATTAAACATAATAAAATCCAGTTAAAACCAGAATTATGGCCTCCAGCATATGTGAACAATGGAAAGCTTCCTCACATTTATGGGTAAAAAGAGAACTAAAGTGATTCAATCAAAAACAAGTAATGCAAAAATAATGAATGGTATGGTAATTATACAAATGATAAGTTTCCTAAACATGTTATGCTAAAGAAAGAAATAAACGAGTATCTGGTGTGTACCAACTTTAAAAACCATCATTACCATACATCTACAAGTTGAATCAATCAAAATCGGAAAATCACCTCAAAATTCTTCAAGTTACCGGACAAAAATTGGAGTCCAAACAACAACAAAAGAATTAGAAAAATAATACTATTGTTATTTCCTAACACAAAGCCTTGGTGAAAGTAGGAAAAAGGAGAGCCAAGTGAAATAAAAAGAATTCATCGGCGTAACTCAGGAGAGCATGCTAAGCAGACTCAACCACGCTAAGCGCACTATACCAGTAGCATAAAAACCAGGACAACAACATGCAGTCCAGTAGCGCCCTCCATAATCACCTACATTATCCTCATTTACACATCTAAATAGCATTTACAACACAAACACACTTCCACAAGCTAAACACGACAAGCTTGCGGAAAACCACAAAGAATAACAACATAAAACAACTAATATAAACATACTAAAAGAATGGGTGAAAATTGATTAAACAATTTGTAAAGTGGATATTTGAGAATTTTACGAACAATCCGAGTACAACTTGTTTAATAAATGTTCACCACACTACCTAAGCTAGAATGAAAAAAATAACAATGAAACAAAAAACGATAAAACATGCTTGTTTTATTGTGTAAGCTCGGAGCCTATTATTTACAAACTAACACATTGCTTCAGACGAGCCAAACGCTTCACTCCCACCTTCGCTCAAAACTCTTCAAGCTCTAACCAGAACTACACATCTAACCAAACTTTGGTAAACGTGAAACAAAACAAGTATACTATATACAAATGTATAAATCATGTAAATGTGCAAAATAAACAAGTATGAAGAAAATGTACAAATACACATTATAGACATATTTACGAAACTTAGAAAGCAAAACTATTGTGACGTAGTTAATATCAACACCAATCCCCGACAACAGCGCCATTTTGCTGGTGCGATAAAGTGGCAAGCAAAAAGTAAAGTATCATTTTACCGGGTGATATTTAGGTTATATCGTATCGTGTCCACGGATATTAGTGAGAGGGAAAAACTATTGTTCAACAGTTTCAATCATTCTAAGTTTGGAAAAGGGGCTTGTAGAAAAAGTAAAGGAAAAGTAAATAAAGCAATAAAGAAAGCGATAAACAATCATCTGCAGCCTAAGAGAAT